CAATGGAAATTTGTAGAAACAGGGAAAATTTCAAAAATAAGGTAAATGTTAAAATATTAATTTCTTATCTGTCCTCTGTTCAGTGTGTGGTTAAAACCCTGGCTCACAGAAAGACTGATGAACTGGTAAACCAAAATAGTCGTGTACTGTACATTATTCCAGTACTAACAATAAGCTGTACTCTATACTACATGTAGTACCTAAATGACACCTTGCCATATTCTCTAGAATGGGTGGGTGGAGCAGTGGTTTGCATACCCTCTCTAACCAAGATATCTGGAGTTTGATTCCGCTCAGACAAGAAAAGGAACAGAGTCACCTGCCTGACCACACACGTTTTCTCCATGTATTTGGTTTTCTCCTATATATAAGAACCCCCCACCCCACCCTCACACACACACACAAACACACACACACACAAACAAAGTTTCACATTTTGGCCAACAAGAGTGATTCATGTACATTAATTAACTTTCATAATTGGTGTAAAATAGATAATTTATAATTTTTCTTATATTTTTAAAAGTGCTGTACTACGAAATTCTATAACATATATATTCAGGTTTAAACTTCTGCCATAACCTCTAACAGATCTACGAATCCTTAAAAGTTCTGATAAATCACCTTGTTGTTTTTATGCAATAAGATTTTGTAATCATATCGAGCATTGTAAGTATATAATCCTGTGCGATGACTAGGATTTGGAGGGTGGTTCTAGTGTAAGGTCCTCTGAATAATACCATCAGGAAATGACATGGACCTGAGACAAAAACCAAGCCAATCAATACATTCCTGATCTAACACAGGGAAATGTTTTAAATCCCAAACTACACGGTAAGCCTTATGTGGGTGCAGGGATTACTCCAAAGATACATCAATTTAAAATATTGACACTGAAGTATGCCCTTATAAACTATTAAATGGCATTGAAGTATTTTCACAGATAAGGAGGATAAAGAGAAACTATTATAAAACAATTGATGTATACAGGCTTGGCCGCATCTGCTTATATAGTGTCTGGTCAAAACACTTCCATGTCAAAATTGTTATCATGGCTAAAAAGGAAAAGCAACATGATATTATACAGTATAGGATTGCAATTGACTGCTGCTTGGTCAGTGTGGATCTGTACAGACAGACTGGTCAAAGGTGACCTGTCCAGACAACTTGGTCAGAGTGGATCTGTACAGACAGATTGATCAAAGGTGACCTGTCCAGACAACTTGGTCAGAGTGGATCTGTACAGACAGATTGATCAAAGGTGACCTGTCCAGACAACTTGGTCAGGGTGGATCTGTACAGACAGACTGGTCAAAGGTGACCTGTCCAGACAACTTGGTCAGAGTGGATCTGTACAGACAGATTGATCAAAGGTGACCTGTCCAGACAACTTGGTCAGAGTGGATCTGTACAGACAGATTGATCAAAGGTGACCTGTCCAGACAACTTGGTCAGAGTGGATCTGTACAGACAGATTGATCAAAGGTGACCTGTCCAGACAACTTGGTCAGAGTGGATCTGTACAGACAGATTGATCAAAGGTGACCTGTCCAGACAACTTGGTCAGGGTGGATCTGTACAGACAGATTGATCAAAGGTGACCTGTCCAGACAACTTGGTCAGGGTGGATCTGTACAGACAGACTGGTCAAAGGTGACCTGTCCAGACAACTTGGTCAGAGTGGATCTGTACAGACAGATTGATCAAAGGTGACCTGTCCAGACAACTTGGTCAGAGTGGATCTGTACAGACAGATTGATCAAAGGTGACCTGTCCAGACAACTTGGTCAGGGTGGATCTGTACAGACAGATTGATCAAAGGTGACCTGTCCAGACAACTTGGTCAGGGTGGATCTGTACAGACAGACTGGTCAAAGGTGACCTGTCCAGACAACTTGGTCAGGGTGGATCTGTACAGACAGACTGGTCAAAGGTGACCTGTCCAGACAACTTGGTCAGGGTGGATCTGTACAGACAGACTGGTCAAAGGTGACCTGTCCAGACAACTTGGTCAGGGTGGATCTGTACAGACAGACTGGTCAAAGGTGACCTGTCCAGACAACTTGGTCAGGGTGGATCTGTACAGACAGACTGGTCAAAGGTGACCTGTCCAGACAACTTGGTCAGAGTGGATCTGTACAGACAGACTGGTCAAAGGTGACCTGTCCAGACAACTTGGTCAGAGTGGATCTGTACAGACAGACTGGTCAAAGGTGACCTGTCCAGACAACTTGGTCAGAGTGGATCTGTACAGACAGACTGGTCAAAGGTGACCTGTCCAGACAACTTGGTCAGAGTGGATCTGTACAGACAGACTGGTCAAAGGTGACCTGTCCAGACAACTTGGTCAGAGTGGATCTGTACAGACAGACTGGTCAAAGGTGACCTGTCCAGACAACTTGGTCAGAGTGGATCTGTACAGACAGACTGGTCAAAGGTGACCTGTCCAGACAACTTGGTCAGAGTGGATCTGTACAGACAGACTGGTCAAAGGTGACCTGTCCAGACAACTTGGTCAGAGTGGATCTGTACAGACAGACTGGTCAAAGGTGACCTGTCCAGACAACTTGGTCAGAGTGGATCTGTACAGACAGACTGGTCAAAGGTGACCTGTCCAGACAACTTGGTCAGAGTGGATCTGTACAGACAGACTGGTCAAAGGTGACCTGTCCAGACAACTTGGTCAGAGTGGATCTGTACAGACAGACTGGTCAAAGGTGACCTGTCCAGACAACTTGGTCAGGGTGGATCTGTACAGACAGATTGATCAAAGGTGACCTGTCCAGACAACTTGGTCAGGGTGGATCTGTTCATACAGACTGGTCAAAGGTGACCTGTCCAGACAACTTGGTCAGGGTGGATCTGTACAGACAGATTGATCAAAGGGGACCTGTCCAGACAACTTGGTCAGAGTGGATCTGTACAGACAGACTGGTCAAAGGTGACCTGTCCAGATAACTTGGTCAGGGTGGATCTGTACAGACAAACTGGTCAAAGGTGACCTGTCCAGACAACTTGGTCAGGGTGGATCTGTTCATACAGACTGGTCAAAGGTGACCTGTCCGGACAACTTGGTCAGAGTGGATCTGTACAGACAGATTGATCAAAGGTGACCTGTCCGGACAACTTGGTCAGTGTGGATCTGTACAGACAAACTGGTCAAAGGTGACCTGTCCGGACAACTTGGTCAGGGTGGATCTGTACAGACAGACTGGTCAAAGGTGACCTGTCCAGACAACTTGGTCAGTGTGGATCTGTACATTCAGACTGGTCAGGGTGGATTTGTTCATACAGACTGGTCAAAGGTGACCTGTACATGTACAACTTGGTCAAGGTGGGTGATGGGAAGTTTAGACAGAGTATATCTTGGTTATGGGTGGGGTTGTGTACAGGGTTGGGGAAGTCATCCGTTCATACAACTTGGTCTCAGAATTGGGTTATATGTACAACAGTGTTGACTGCAGCTATGTTTTTGTATCACTTTCAGCAAAAATGTATTAAAAAACCTTCCATGTAATTTGTTGTAAGATTTTTAACTTATTCGACTATTGTGACTTTCAAAGTTGGTCTACAAAATTTATTCTAATTCCATAAGTCATAGGACTTCACACCATTAAGCTAAAGGTCAACATGATGACCCTAGACCCCCTGGCTATTCAGAAGAGGCTGTTTAACGAATTTTATAGCACATCTGTCTATGGGAACTTGAGAGTGAATCAAGGTCCTTCATTTTAACAACTTAACAGGCCTTTATCTTGACATGCTACAGGTTAAAGTATTATAATATCATAGATCTGTTGATTATTCAGAAGTCATTAAAAGTAAAACAAAATGCTGGGTGAATGCCACACCATGGCAATAATCAGGTTGCTCACCTCAATATACCTGCAGAATCAGGTGTTTTACTGGACAAGCTAATGAGTATACGTTTACTAAAAAAAACAGCTAAAATTATCTATGAAAACTACTAGTGAGCACCTATGAGCTTCTAGATTTCACAATGTTTTCAGAACTCCTAGAAGCCTGCGACACAATAGGTACCGATACACATCACCCAAACCTACTAATCAACAATTTGTTAACATTTTATAAAAAACAATTCATCATATAAGTGTTGTATAAGCGTAGCTGAATCAAGTAATTTCGGTACATATATAACAACTATTGTACATACGCTTACAGCGTAGCCGAATCAACATTAATTTTTGTGGACAACTCGTACACATTTTACACCTTTGTGTGCATACACTTCACTGGTCATTTGTCTGATGAAGGTGACAGTGTTTATTTCTTACTAGTCATCGAAACGTCACATAGAAAATTTTATTGGTTGTATAAAAAAAACTTTTCATAATACTTATCAACAAATCATTGGTTATGTACCTCAATGTACTACTGTGTGATTACCATTAGCAGCACCAAACATCACAACTGTACCATCTCTCAAGTCTCTTATAGCAGAAACCAGGCTTATTTTTGTGAAATACAACTGTTTATTTTTTGGGAAATTGTGTCCGTTTACACATTAAGATCTTCACCTCCTAAAATTCAGTATTTTCAATACTAGACTTCTTTTACTGTATTTAATATTCAATAATTTTAGTGATTTTGTTTAGATAACAATAGTTTTAAGTGCAAAGAGTTTGAAAATTCTCAAAAGCAATCAGAAAATGTTTAGATTTTGGGTATTATTTAAAGCAAGTTGGTACATTTTCCAGCTCAGAGGGGAATAAAGAGATGAGGATTTTTTCTCCAGGGGATATTATAAACAGGTTAGTATTTGGCCTCAATTAGTCTCTTTGTTTATTTACCTTTCCATTTCTTAAATCTTTTTTATATATATTAATAGTGCACTTACAATCATGTGAACTACACTATAAGGGAGGCAACTCCCAATTTGATTACTGAACACATACTTCACTACAAACCAAAAACAATACAACATAATAATTTAATGCTTAAAAATCTGAAACAGAAAATAATAAGTAGAATACACCTACCTCCAGTCACTTTGGTAACCGCTTCTTGGAACACATCATAACATTTCTGAATTTCTTTGTCTGCAACAAATGTTATTCAGATTTGTATTAAAATAGAAATAAAAATGCCTTTCTAAAAATGGCTATAAATTTCTTGGGCCATGATAGACATATCTTTTATCATGTGTTACTGCCACTCTAAAACACAAGAGGTCCAGAGGGCCTGCTGTGCTCACTTGGACCATCTTCATGTGTAGGCTATGCATACTTGTTTGATAAGCGTCATCACAGAGCAATATCTGTGATCGGTGAGTTATATTTCGGTCAAGCTTATTCCTTTAAGGCCAAAACAAATTGATAACTTGGTTTTCAGGCCCGCGTGCATTTCATTTTAGGGCACTGCATTGCCTATTTTATCGTGAATGTAATAAAAAAAAAATGGTGAATGCGCCAGCCACCGTCTTTAAAAAAAATTTGGAAAATTGGTCCGCATGACGTTTTTTACTCGTTAGTCACCCAAGTCCTGAAAACGTTTGAATAAAGATAAGGTTTGATATACAGGCGAGCGTTAAAATGATTATTACTTATTAGTCTTGTGTACAAATGGCGNCGCTCATTTCGGTACAAATAAGGAATGGGGGGGTGGGTCATGATTCTTGTCTGGAACATCGTGGGAGAATTTCGGAGGCTTGCTCTATGACGGGTCTCTACACAACTATAAAAAGACAAGGTAATGCCCACAATGAATGTTTTACAAACTACAAAATAAAAAAAAAATCGCCCTCATCTCGTTTTTGCCATGTAAAATAAAAAAAAAAATACAGCCCTGCCGCATCTCTTTTGAAAACAAATTGCCTGAGAACCAAGTAATTAATTTTATTTGGCCTAAGCCAACATAATAGTTGTTACTCTAGAGAAAAACACCACAAATACAACTTAAAACTTCTAGTTTAAGAAGCCCTACACAAGTTTTTAATGTATTTGACCCTGGTGACCTTGAAGTAGGTAAAGGTAATAGATATAAGCCTTATATCTAATATTTAAGCTGAGGTAGCACTTTCAGTTGACTTTTTACTTCAAAACAATATTCATCAGGAAAAGACACACTGCTGGTCTAAATATCATACGAAAGCATCATGGCGATAGAGCTTATAGTGAGGGCTGTTCAATTTCATGTTTATATATGTACTAGCTGGCGCAGGCAGATTTTGAAAATTTTACAAGCCCAACTTATAATTTCGTTGTAAATATTGAGAAACTTTCACTAGTTCTAACATGAAATCCACTAGCCCCGGTCACCTAGTTGGTGGAATTGTACACCTCTTTATGGTCCATAAGATAATGTGCTTCAATTTTTTTTATTTTTGACCTCTTGTGACCTTGAAAGTAGGTCAAGATCATTTTCACAAGGAAACTTAATAGCATTCTGTCCCAAGGCCCTACTGGTATAATAGCATGTACAGGGGCCTAGTGAAACTTAAGAAGATTTATGATGATTTTTACCCAATCTAGTACATGACAAGATTTGACTATAGCAAGCCCTTTTAAATTTTAATAGATTATATAGGGTGCTATATACATGTTGTATATCTGTGTATTATTATTATCAATATCAGATGATTATTTGCATTGCTTGGCTACAACCAGTATGTACATAGTATCATGTCTCTAGATCTTATGTCTCATGATATGATATGTTTGAAGCTTTTGACATATTTGACCCCCATGACCTTGAAACTAGGTCAAGGTCATTCAAATGAGACCGCTTTACACCTCAGGTACCTATCAGCCAAATGTCATGACTATTGACCTTATTGGGTTTGAGAAAAAGATCTTTAAAATAATTTACCTATTTTAGGTCATATTGACTTTTGACCCCTACCAGCACAAAAAGCTTAACCTAATATATCAAATTATTACACTATTCTGTCTGAGAAATTGAGATGACAAATTTGAAATACCCAAATCAAATATGACCATTTTATGGCCATCTTGCTTTTGTGATTAGTCCTAATAGTGAACATGCTCTACTAAATTTCAGAAAGAACCTTCCAATTGTTCATGGGAATGGCATCAATAACATTCAACTGTCAAAATCAAAGATGGCCACATGGCAGTCATGTAGGAAACCGTGCCCAAACTGAACCACCACAACTGAGGCACCTACTTGTAATGTCTGAGTAAAATATCCTTCTAGTCCTTTTACAAATATCTATAAGAAACTTTAAATATCAAATTCATAGTCGGGCCCTTTATAAATATCACCTTTCTCATCCTCAACAATGAGGGCCAATTAACGCTGACAACAAACATTAATACACAATACACGGTATATAATCATTACATGTGAAATTAAGGCAAAGCTTTCCTGTTACACAGAAATTATAACAAACTTTAACTGTCAAAATCAAGATGGATATTTGGCAGCCATTTCTTTCTTTCCATACTCTCAAAATTAAACATGAAGGACTAAAAACATATTACACTTTAGATGTAAATGGAAATCTATTGACACACCATTTTATAATAACTTTTCACTGTGAATGTCTTAATTCCTGATAACACACAATAAACATATGCTGAAATAGTACAAAATTTGTTTCTAATCAAGACATCTCTAACCTTTTAGGTCCATGTCATCGAGTGCAGAGGCTGTGTGGATATGCCGTCTTGCAATGGCATCATACGTCTCTGGTCTGTCTGGGAACGTCTTCAGTATACTGTAACAATAGAGAATTGTTACAACGTCTTCAATATACTGTAACAATAGAAAATTGTTACAACGTCTTCAATACACTGTAACAATAGAGAATTGTTACCACGTCTTCAATATACTGTAACAATAGAGAATTGTTACAACGTCTTCAGTATACTGTAACAATAGAGAAGTGTTACAACATCTTCAGCTGCCATGAGGACGAAGTGGAATTGTGTGTTATGGACCATTAAAGAGAGCCTGTAGAATAAAGATAGTTAACTCTGGGTGTGGCTCTTGTTCTGAATTGTACTAAATGTCCCCATTTATAACAAATTACCGACTAGATGATACCAATGTCTGGCTATTGCCCATGTCCTGACTGTCCCCAGTTATAACAAATTACCGACTAGATGATACCAATGTCTGGCTATTGCCCATGCCCTGAACTGTCCCCAGTTATAACAAATTACCGACTAGACAATACTAATGTCTGGCTATTGCCCATGTCCTGACTGTCCCCATGTATAACAAATTACCGACTAGACAATACTAATGTCTGGCTATTGCCCATGTCCTGGCTGTCCCCAGTTATAACAAATTACCGACTAGATGATAACAATGTCTGGCTATTGCCCATGTCTTGAACTGTCCCCAGTTATAACAAATTACCGACTAGAAAAAACTAATGTCTGGCTATTGCCCATGTCCTAACTGTCCCCAGTTATAACAAATTACCGACTAGATGATACCAATGTCTGGCTATTGCCCATGTCCTAACTGTCCCCAGTTATAACAAATTACCGACTAGATGATACCAATGTCTGGCTATTGCCCATGTCCTGTACTGTCCCCAGTTATAACAAATTACCGACTAGACGATACCAATGTCTGGCTATTGCCCATGTCCTAACTGTCCCCAGTTATAACAAATTACCGACTTGACGATACTAATGTCCGGCTATTGCCCATGTCTTGAACTGTCCCCAGTTATTACAAATTACCGACTAGACAATACCAATGTCTGGCTATTGCCCATGTCCTGACTGTCCCCAGTTATAACAAATTACCGACTTGACGATACTAATGTCTGGCTATTGCCCATGTCTTGAACTGTCCCCAGTTATAACAAATTACCGACTAGACAATACTAATGTCTGGCTATTGTCCATGTCCTGACTGTCTCCAGTTATAACAAATTACCGCCTAGACAATACTAATGTCTGGCTATTGCCCATGTCCTGGCTGTCCCCAGTTATAACAAATTACCGACTAGATGATACCAATGTCTGGCTATTGCCCATGTCCTGACTGTCCCCCGTTATAACAAATTACCGACTAGACAATACTAATGTCTGGCTATTGCCTATGTCCTGACTGTCCCCAGTTATAACAAATTACCGAATAGACAATACTAATGTCTGGCTATTGCCCATGTCCTGGCTGTCCCCAGTTATAACAAATTACCGACTAGATGATACCAATGTATGGCTATTGCCCATGTCTTAAACTGTCCCCAGTTATACAAATTACTGACTAGACAATACCAATGTCTGGCTATTGCCCATGTCCTGTACTGTCCCCAGTTATAACAAATTACCGACTAGATGATACCAATGTCTGGCTATTGCCCATGTCTTAAACTGTCCCCAGTTATAACAAATTACTGACTAGACAATACCAATGTCTGGCTATTGCCCATGTCTTGAACTGTCCCCAGTTATAACAAATTACTGACTAGACAATACTAATGTCTGGCTATTGCCCATGTCCTGACTTTCCCCAGTTATAACCAATTTTAGGCTACAAGATACTTAACCCTGGGTGGGGTCAATTGTACTAGGTTTCCAGTTAAAAGCAATTTTAGTCTACAAGGTAATCAAAAGCTAAACTTGATTTATTTTACAACATTAATAGAACAACCAAGTTCTTTCAACTTATATTAATCGCTCGTGTTGGCCTAACTTAAGGCTTCAAGATAATTAATACAGTGTCCATTAAGCCCACTCACAATACCAGGGGTTCCAGTTATTATGTTGAAAAAAGTCTACTACTTTCCTGGTCATATGCAGCAAAAATCAAATGAATTTGGAAGTTGTGGCATTTTATTATCAATTGAAATAAACTAATGTCAATTTACAGTGTTTCTGTGTGTTCTGTCTAGGTAAGTACACATATTGGCATAGTGTTGTCGCATGTCGAAGGGTGTAAATAGTGATCCAGGGGAGGTAAGTCTTACATGGCTTATTTGAAGTTGTACATGTGACGTAATTAATTTGTAAACTGATTTCCTTAAAAGAAAATCAGAAATGAATTATTTTACCATATAATATTTTACCATATAATAGATTAATAATGTGCAGTAATCCGCACATCGTCTACACATGGTATGCACATCTGGGCGATTTAGCAATCGTTCGCCCCGTTTTGCGCTTCTCTCCGAGGAACTGTGCAATTTGGTATAATTTGTTGATCAACATAATGGAACGAAAAAAATATGGAAGGCTCATATGCAATAATGTACACTGTATATTACTATAATTTCTCATCACAATTATTAAGATTTTGTACAATTTTACAATGCGTGTAACACAGTATACAGTGACCGTTAGACTGTCAAGAATGGTTTTGGCTCACAGTTAGGTGAACAGAACAGATAAATAACAATTTGATGAGTGACCAGAGTTTTTCATGGCCTGTGCCTGACACATAGAGCTGCTATGTGATACCGTATGACCGTTATGAAAACACAACGGGACGTTTAGTATTTGTTATTTGCATTCGGTTTGGTCTATAGCTCCCCTTCACCTGGTTTTCACACCTTGGCGAGCTAGTGCCTCGGGCGGGGGAAAACTACGGTCCAGGTACAAAGTGGCTATGTTTACCTGCGTTGCCGAGACTGTGTTGTAATTTCACATGTGTCGATTAAGGTTGTTTAAAAAACACCGAAAACATCATTTCTAAATTTAAGAAAGTATAGACAGAAAGATAAGCTGATAGATGTAGCTAGAATATAGAAACATACTAAAAAATCAAGTTATTATGTTAAACAAGAAACCGTATATATTGTTAAGGCATTCCTCAATTTACACCAACCACGATTGTTATCGTACAACGTTCGTTTATCGTCCACACAAATGTGCTCAATCAATGATCGTCCAATTTTTTATCGTTCGCACTTTGTGCACACACCGTTCACACACCGTGCGCACACCGAACATCGTGTAACGTTGCGCGATCCCAAAACTGTAATAATTTTACTATTTCTATCTCACCAACTTCACTCCCATCGCAAAGAAGACACCACTGTCCGAAATGGATGAGCGTGGTCCTCAACAGAAAAACTGCTTTAAATGTTGTTTCTTTTATTATAATTAGCCAATAACTTAATTAATTTCAACATTGGAAACAGGGTCAATCTCAGTCTTCACAAACAACCACCAATAGAATAATATGTTGCTGAAAAAAGTGTACACTCTGCCCTCCATTAGTGGTATGTCTCTGTCTAGCAATAATAATTGAATTTGCAAGCAGCAAGTTAGGGATGGTAATTTAACTTGCTTCTATCTTCTTCCATGAAAATGAAAAAAAACAATGTATGTCACACTGTTTGTCAAAAACCACACTTTTGTTCCATGTCATCTATATAGCAAACAACATCCCCTATGTTGGTGGTGGCCTTACTTAAAGTGTGATGACCAGTGGTGAGGTATATGTTGAAATAGAATTGTCCTGAGTTTATAACATGTTATGAGATTACAATACAATCTGTCTATAAACTTACTGAATTACATCAGATTTATGTAGGTTTACAATACAATCTGTCTATAAACTTACTGAATTACATTAGATTTATGTAGGTTTACAATTTAATATGTCTTTAAACTTACTTAGAGAATATTTCTTGCTCTTGGCCCTTAGCAAAATCAAACAGCTGGCATATTGGTAGGAATGATAATGCAAAATTCACATCCTCTGAAAAGAAAAATATATCAGTGAAATATTGGAATCATGCATTTTCAACACAATATCAGGCTGAACCTACTATTCCTATAACAGGTGTTAAATCATTGTTCTAAAAGCAGATGAAAATATGTTTCATGTGCGACAAGAAGACGCCTTCATCGATATCCCCCACTCATAATGTACTAATAGAATCCATCCCTGATTTGAGGTAAGGATAAGGTTAGTCAAACCCAAGGGATAACATATTGAGCAGGAGACCCGAGGCTCTGCCGAGTGTCTTTTGCTCAATATTTTATCCCGAGGGTTTGAATAACCTTATCCTTACCTCACATCAGGGATAGATTCTATTTCTTACTTATTACCTAAAACCCCTAAAAACAGACGATCTTCTAGTAAAGTTGTTAAATGTCTGCACATTTCCCATTTGCATATGAAGCCCAGATTTCAATTGACGTCAATGACTCTGACTGACCCCAAAACGTCATAAAATGATGTCACGACCAATAGCGTGACCCCGAAAGGTCACTATAATTCCCCCCGCCAGTCTGCGAGTGTAAGCGATCTAGACCCGTGGGTCGGATAGAATATTCCAGCACCGTCGGAAATGCGGATATCTCAGTCTAGTATGCAAGAAAAGTCAATAAAAAAATCATTGTTGGTCACAAAGCCAGTGAAGCATAAAATGTTGGTCAAATTCAGCTTCCGCAATATGCAATCAGTAGAGCCACCCCACAACATACAATCAGTACAGCCAACCAACAACATACAATCAGTACAGCCACCCCACAACATACAATCAGTACAGCCACCCCACAACATGCAATCAGTACAGCCACCCCACAACATACAATCAGTACATCCACCCCAGATGCATCAATCATGAAAGTATTGAAGGGGTAGCAGTTGTAGTAAGGTATTCATGGACGAGACCTATTCTTCTTAACCCAACGGCCAGACCTCATTTACATATCCCTGCCAATTTTGCTAAGCAGGGGATAACAAGTTAGAAATCCCTTGAATATGAGGCACATGCTCCATACCTGGGAACTCCATCAGTGCCTGTTTATACACTACATACCTGGGAACTCCATCAGTGCCTGTTTATACACTACATATCTGGGAGCTCCATCAGTGTCTGTTTGTACACTACATACCTGGGAACTCCATTAGTGTCTGTTTATACACTACATACCTGGGAGCTCCATCAGTGTCTGTTTATACACTACATACCTGGGAACTCCATTAGTGTCTGTTTATACACTACATATCTGGGT